TTGCTACAACTTTAAAAGCACAACTACAATGACGTGGGAAAATACCCGAACAAAGCTGAATGCCATATATATATAATCACAAAGGAAGTTAGCAATTTGCTGAAGAGGGAAGTAGATATTAATGAAAAGCACTACTGTGCTTAACAACCAGATCCTGGTTCAAATTTTCCCATGATCAGGGATTCTACCACATTACCAGCACTTCTCTTGGTCAGTCTCAGCTCAATTTGTATAACAGGCTTATTATTATTGTTGTCAAAAGCAGGACAAAATATTCCATCCAATTAATTAAGACATTGTAGCAATCCAAAACCAATGATAGCACTTTTTCCATTTACAGAAACCCTATGTCTGCAAAATACCAGGCTGCACAAAACGCTATACAGACCCAAGTTCTCTCCGAAAACATGTAAAAACTGTACATGGTCCTGAAGCACATGTCACTAAAAAGCAACGTGGAGATATCCATCCAAGACATCCGCCACCAAGAGATCAAGGCAGTCATTCCCAAAACAGATCCCCAGGCCACCTGATTCAGGGTGCAATTAGTGAGCAAAAAGGCCTCAGCAACACTACCTCAAAGCATGAAGAATGCCTCCAAGTTAAAGCTGTTAAGTCAGAGAAGCCAATGGTAAGCTTCTATTTCTTTTTATTCCTTGGATATAAAAGTATACATTGTTCATTAATATTATTATTACAGCACGGTTACATTTGGGTTCCCCCCCTGCCCGAATATCTGTTTATAATAATAAGGAAGCTATTGCACTCTATATAGTTCAGAGGAACTCATCAAACAGAGAACAGCAAACCTATTTAATGGGTTTTCACATAATTTTTATACTCAAATTTGTATCTTCTTGTGATGTATATTTTCACAGATGTGATGTGGAGTGACAACTGAGTGTTACTTGTGTATCTGTAATAGTCTAACACCATTTAAAAGTTAAAAATTAGTGGTAGTATACAATGCATACTGCAAAAAAAAATATGAAAATTTATATTCATTTGAATGACTATAATGACCATCTTCCATAATAACTTTGTTTGCAAACTGCCTTGTTATCAAGCTTAACCAAGTGTATCCTAGTAGAATGCTTTGGGTTGGCTTGGAAATTTAGATCTGTCACTGAACCTTCCAGACAAGTTTATCTGTTTAATTCCCAATCCTGCAGGACTCTTTCTTGTGAAGAGTTCTTCAGTATTATTGGAATTATATAAAACTTTCCCCAAGAATATACTTGCCATTCTAAAATTAGTTTCTATCAATTAATAGAAGAAACTATTTCCATATGGTCTGAACTTGAAGGCTCCAGAACACACTATTATATCAATATTCCATTGCAAAACCATGGAATTTTAGGAAAAGCAAATATTACATGAAGGGGGGGGGATCAAATACTGGCCATACCAATATATTATTTATTGTGTACTTTGCAGTGTGCCTCTGCCTTAATTGACTGCTAATATAAAAGTTTTAAAAAATGGTTTTATTATGAATTCTAGTCAATTACAAATATAATTTAAAATCATAAAGTAATATTTTCTTCATAAGTCAGAATGAAATTAATCTTAATTTGTTTATGAGTAACACTTCTATTGTAAATTGAAGCTTTCGTGATGTAATAATCCCCCCTTAGCCCTGGAAAATAATCAGTTTTTGAAAGGCAGATGTGAATAAGTTATATTTAATTGTGGGTTATATGTTACTGTATATACTATCTATAATATTTTTCATAAGTCACCATATCCTAGAAATCTATGCAAATTTTTGCAGTAATGTTCTTTGCTATGATAGCCTTTCTGACCAATAAAGAGTGGGAGAATATATTTTTCTCATTCTGACTTGAATGGATGGCATGTCCTACAGTATATGCAAAAGCTCTTTTCTTTGTCTTCAAATCTGATGCTGAATCAGAAATTGGCCCTGAGGGACTGAATGTTAATGTAAAAGTATTTAAGGTGTACTAAAAAATGTTTCATAATAAAGTTAAGATTCCAGGATCTAAATACCTTTGAGAGTGAAGAGGCAAAATAGACTATTGCAGGAATACATAAATATACTTTGATGTAACATTGGCACTAAAATAACTGATTTGTATGTATTGTATAACCAAATGTCTTATGTCTTTTGTTTTACTAATCCAATGTTTCTTCTACCTAATGCTTTTAATGCCATGTTCTATCTTCCTAAGGACAGTGGGTAATAAGGTGAGGGAATTTTAATTTCTCCACATTATTTTCATTGTAGTTAAAAATTCATTTACTTGCTACTTGAAACCATTTCATTAGCTGTATTCACAACTATTATAAAAACATACTTTATAACAAATGGCATACTACCCAGTTAGTTTGTAAAACTAGTCATATATGGAAATATAGATATTTACCTATACATCTGTAATTGCTCTTTAGTTGTTACTGCTGTGAAGAATTTTCCAGCTGTAAGAACAGGCTTCTGACCCTCAGATTTGTTCATTGAACTAGCATTAAACTGTAGCCATTCCCGTGGCATTTCATGTTGAACTAAGTAATTTAAAACATTCCACTTAAGACTGAACCAAAGGCATATAACACAGTATATTATTAGTTTTGGCAGAATACTTTGATGTGGCTGCTAGTTAGTCCTGAAAGTTCTTGCTTGCTTATCTTAGATGATGCAGGAATCCTATTGTTATACTGATCATCCAGATTTTATTCCAAAACAAATTAGTCCACAAGAAGTCTGCCTATAGCAGTAAAATTGATAGGCAAATACCATAGCTAATGTGTTATAAAAATATTGAAGATACTGTTCTTGAAAGCAATTTTTTAAAATCTTAATTAGAATTGTATGAATATTGAATCTCCACTGCATCACTTAAGCTATGACAACGGAAGTTCTAAGTATTTTGTTTCTCATTTCCAATTTTCAAAGATGTTGTTCATGATCAAGATGATATTAATGTATCTACAACTGCAGAAGTACATTTCTAAATGTTTGATTATCTGAAATATTTTAGAGTAGAAAATGGAGAAAATCTCTCTCTGTAAATGAATGACGAATTTATTCAAAGTACAAACCTATACCAGGGGTCGCCAGTCTTTTGGACTTCAGGGACCACCAAACTCATAATTTTAAATCCCATGGACCACTAATATGAATTTTGACTGACGGTGGCTTGCTGATGTTGGTGGGAAAGTCGGTCCCATATTCCAGAGCTGCAGTAGTCACAGGACTGGCCTGCCATTGATGAGCTGCTCCAGGATGACCAAAGGGCCAGTCTTGTGACTACTGCAGCTCTGGCATATGGGACTGGCCTTTGGTGGGGTTGGAAATCTCCGCCGTAGGGGGTGGCATGTGTAATGTGCAAGTTTGCGGGTGGTGCAACATGCAAAAAGCGGTGCACCCCTTGCCGGCCAGGACGAGGTAATGGTGCTGTTGCAGAAAGGGGGGGGGGACAGGCGGGCAAAAGCAGCAATGGAAATGGCTGGAAGGTGCGGGAATGCCGTGCTACTCAGCATTCCTCCTTCGCTCGAGGAGCCCGGCCAAAGTTTCCCTTCAGTGCTTTGACTCCCAGGGACAGGAGTTTGGCCAAGCTATCTGCAAAATCATCTCTCTCGAGAAGCGCTCACAGAAGCAGCATGGGAAACTTGGGCCAGGCTCTTGAGAGATGAGAGTGACTCCAGATGCTTCTCTCCACAAGTGCTCCTCGAGAGACAGACATTTTTTCAGGTAGCTTGGCTGAACTCCTGTCCCTGGGAGTCAAAGCACTAAAGTGCGAGGGGCATGGGAAACTTTGGCGGGCTCTCAAGAGATGAGAGTGACTCCAGCTGCTTACGGGGACATTTCTCTGCGGACCACCAAAATTTTCTCACGGACCACCAGTGGTCCGCGGACCACCAGTTGGCAACCACTGTCATGTTTGTTATGTGACAATAGTGATGTCAGTAGGATTTATATTCTATATAAATATTATATATTTATATTATATGGCTAGAAAAGTAGCCATAGCATGTTCACTTAGCATATACAATGAACTCTGAGCTCACTTTAGCTAAAAAAAAAGTCAACATGTTATAAATTAGTTATATTAAGCAATTCAAAGCTGTATTTTAAATTATGTTATTATTTAATAGACAGGTCTTATTTAAGTTGAATTATTTTGGTGCTAGGACCAAAGAGAGAAAAAATGGGTTAAGAAAAGCAGAAATTTTACTTACAAATTTGTCCTTATCAGAATTTTCCACAAAAATATTGGAGTGTTCCTTAACTTGTAGGAAATCCATTATTCTGTGGATAGTCCTGAGAAAGGACTATTGTTCACACCGATAGCTTCTTTCTTTCTTTTTCCTTTTTGTTAAGGAGAAGGAACAAGGTTTCTTTAACATTATTTGCCTCTTTCTAAAACCATCAAACTACAATATTCTGTATTACAAAATTGCAAGTTACAATTACAAAATTTTAAACTGAAAAATCTGTCACTTTTAACAATATATTACTGTAGATGTTATAAACAATATATGGAGTAGTTGCTAGTATAAAATATATTTGCACAACTCTTTTTTAAAAAAAAAACTTGCTATTTTAGGTTTTGCAAATTAGTGGCTTTAGAACAATTTTTCTGTTAATCAACAAAATTCTTTTGCTTCTTTCTGAATATCACCAATACAAAGACAACATTGCTTAACTTGTGTTTGGTAGATTTACCTGTGACACATAAATATTGAAGTTACAAAACAAAACCAAATATAGGAAATTGTGGTGGAATCTACAGCTAGATTAGAGGGAGGTATTAAAATGGGCCTGGAATTAAGAGTTGTTAGAGCAATAAGCAGCACAGACCAGACCTCACCCAGAATCCTTGAAGCCTTATCTTGCCATTCCCAAGGGAATACAGTCAGTTTGGTAAGACTCTTAACATAGTTGGCTAGCAATAAAGTATTTTTGAGCTCTTCACAAGTGGTTCGGGTAGTTTTCATCTGACAGAAAAATTTGTATGAATGTTCTTTCTCTGATACCAAATTTTGTTTTCCGCCAGACATCTCAGCCAAGCCCTGGTGGTCAGTCTACATGCAGCAGCGAACAGTCCTCCATCAGCAACTATGCCAACAATGGGATCGAGCTTAATCTGACCAGTAGAGGTAGTGTAGGAGACCTCAGCATTATTGATGAAACCCCTATCATGGATTCTACCATTTCTACAGCAACCACAGCTCTTAGCTTACAGGCCAGGAAGAATATGACTGAGACCAAGTGGATGGAACAAGTCAAGTTAGAAAAGCTAAAACAAATCAATGGAGTGCTTCCAAGACTGAATCCCATGCCATCTTCCAAAGTCCCAGCTTTACCACCTCTCATAAGAAACGGTAAGATGTGTTCATTTAATATAATTATTTGAATCACCTGGATGTTTGAGATTTCATTCTTCAAAAAGGGAAAGTAAAAATAATATAATTGAACTGGGCACTGAAAACAATCCTCCATTCTCTTAACAATGGGAATATTAGTCTTAAAATGGAAAAATAATTTAAATAAAAGCAAAGCAATTTGCTCTACATAGTTATTTGTCATAGTTTCATTTCAACAAGCATAGAAATGTTGGCTTTCTATCCAAGGATTCCACGGATAAAAATCCTAAAGGGGAAAACAAGTCAAGCAGCTTAGGAAACTGAAAACTAAAATAATAACAGCTCAATTTAGCATAATACTACTAAAAAAGAAAAATAAGAAACCAAACAAAACCAGCATGGTTGCATAAAGAACTCTGATAAATTGAAAGACAAAAAGGACAAGTATAAAAAATGGAAAGAGGGACACACACATAAAGCAGAATACAAGCAAGTAGCTTGAATCTGCAAAGATAAAATCAGGAAACTGAACCAAGACTTGCAGCAAATGTCAAAAATATTTTTAAAAAGTTTCTTTCAATATGTTAAAAACAAGAAAACAAGGAAAAAAACAAGGAAACTATCAGTCCACTAATGGGAGAAGATGGGAAGAAGGTAACAGGTAGCAGGGATAAAATAGAACTGTTTAATTCATCCTTTGTATCTGTCTTTACAAAAAAAGGAAAAATTACTCCAACTCAACAAAAGCAGGACCATAATTTATTTAAAAAAAATTAGGAATACAAATAAAAATAGGCAACAAAATGGTAAGATAACCCCAATTAGTCTAAACTAATTTGAATCACCAGGATCGTATGCATTACATCCCAAGATTCTGAAGGAGCTGGCAGACATGATTTCTGAAGCACTTTACCATATCTTTTAAAACTCAGAAACTACCAGAGGACTGGAAAAGAGCTAATGAGGTTCCAATCTTAAAAAAAAAAAAAAGGATTCAGGAAACTACAGACCACCCAACCTAATGTCAGTACCTGGGAAGATCCTGGAAAAGATAATCAAAACAACAGCTGTATGAACATCTAGAAGCAAGAAAATTACTAAAAGCCAACATGGGTTTGTCAAAAACATATCATGCCAGATAAACCTTATTGCATTCACCAGAATTAGTGACTAAGTTAATGGATCAATATAAGTTTCATTAAATCAGTTTTATTTCATTTTTTACTGCTTTTATAATTTCCAATTTAGATATCATCTACAATTAAAAAAAGAAATATTTGATGTGGAGAAAGAACTAAAAGGACAATTATATTTTTCTTTAGTTTGTATGAAACAAGACTGAAAGGCCAGCTGCTAGGTTCATATGCCATCCCAGCATTTTATGTGTCTATTCTTAATTTTGGGGATGGAGGTGTACTAAATTCAGATTTTTCCATGTGACAAAACAGGTATCATTAATTAGTTGTTAGGAAGGAATTCTACATATGGATTTCAGTATCTAATTTTTGACAAGTTGCAGGTCGGTGAGAAGCATCCTTGAAGGCTTTTTTTAATATACTGTACTTACGTGTGGAAGTATAGCAATATTCAGTGTGATTGAGGTATTTGTTACCAAAAGTAAAATGGTCTAGCCACAAGTTACCATCAGATAAAAAATAAGGTGCAATTATGCTACATGGACTTCAATTTATAATATGATATGTGTAGGAGAAAGAATGGCAGAATCTGGGGGCAGAATGCTTAAATGTGTTCCTTGTCTTTCTTTAACCAGGTGCAGAATGTTAGTTGAGAAGATTCCAGTGCATTGGCTTTTAGCAATAAAACAGTTCAATTGAACCTTCACATTTGGACCTGGTCTTTCGTATTTGACATTTTGTAGATGACTCCTGAACAATATCTAACAATTCTGAATGCAGAAATCCATATACAAACCAGTTTCAGTCCTACCATGTTACACCACTGCTACAGAACTGCTCTGATTTCTAGTATTTCCAAATGCAATTCAGGGTGCTGGTCAATATCTTTAAAGCCCTGTGTGGCTTGGAGTTGGTATTTAAGAGACTATTTTTCTCAAATTGTTTTTGTCTATCTAATCTAGATGGCAAAGAATTCCTACTAAAGATTGTCCCTAACAGAGGCAATTGGATATCCTTAGTGACGTTTCAGTATCTATGACACAGTTTGCCTCCTAAAGTGAAGATTGTCTCCCGAACCTAGAAAATGTTAGCTTTTCTGAAAGGGTTTGGGGGATTTCTTCTGATCTGTTTTTAATATAACACATTTCCTTTTCTTATTCTTTTCAGATATTCAGTCAACTAGCAGCTGCAGCACTGGAGGAAACATGACTATCTTAACCAAGAAAAACGAAGTCACAAACACAGATATTACTATACTGAACATGCTAAACAGAAGGGATAGCAGTACTAGCACAATCAGTTCAGCCTACATGAGCAGTCGTAGGTCCTCTGGGATTTCACCTTGTTTTTCCAGTCGTAGATCCAGTGATGCTTCTCAGGGGGACAGAAGGCTTCAGAATTTCAGTGTTGCCGATTCCTATGATCCCATTTCAACTGATGCTTCAAGGCGATCCAGTGAAGTTAGCCAATGTGATGGCTTGCCTGGACTTCTCAGTCTTACTCCTGCACAACAATACAGACTGAAAGCAAAATATGCAGCAGCTATTGGCAGACCTCCACCAACTCCACTTCCTAATATGGAGAGGATGAGCTTGAAAACAAGAATGGTGCTATTGGGTGATTCTAGGGAATCTGGGATGTCACTCTTGCCTCTAGTAAATTCTCCTCGAAGATGTAGTGATACTGGGACAGATAGTAACAACAGAAGGTATCTGCTGCCTCATGATATGGTTGGGAATAGCACAAGGAGAGCTAGTGATCCTGCAAGACCAGTCTCAGATAATCTGTCTTTTCCAAGAATCCACCGTTTTAATAGTTTCAACAGCTTTAACCCTCCTGCTTTGCCTCCATCCATTGAAAAACAGAACTTAATCCTGAAGAATTATACATGCCCAGATGTTGGTTTGTTCCGGAATTTATGTTCCCCTTGCCCTCCAAGTATTTCTGAGAATGTGGCTATGGGAGCTTCTACCACAGAAGCAGATGGTTGTCTGAATGATGAAGATCTGTTACCAGATGATGTGGTCCAGTATTTGAATTCTCAGAATCAAGGTGTGTACAACCAATCACCAAATGATGAACTAGACAACAACAAAGAACATCACAATCCAGCAATGGAAAACAACAACTTTGATCAATCTCCTTCAACAAGCAATTCTCAGAAAAATGATCTACCAATTCAGTGGAATGAAGTAAGCTCAGGAAGTTCTGACTTATCTCCATCAAAATTAAATTGTAGACCGCAGTCCTTAACACAGCAAACTATTATAGGCCCCTATAATAACTTGGTTAACCAGCAGCAACTGCAACAGGCACTGGAAAGAAATGGTACTACCCAACAAAATGGCTATCAAAATCTTGCAGACAACAATGTCTCTTGTAGTATAAAGCAAAATAACACAAGTTCTTACCACTTACACTCAAATAAATCACAGCTATATAGTAATAAATTTTGCAGACAACCTGTGGACAATGTCTGTGATGTGATGAATCAAGCTGAAAAGCTGAGAAGCCATTTCATGCTAACTAGTGGAAGCCAGAGAAATTTTGGCTATTATGTGATGCCAAATGAGCAGTCTGCCAGTGCGATTAACAAGATGCAGAGCAGAAATATAGTTTTTGAGGAATACCTTTCTAATCAGTCAGAAGATGAAGTGAGCCATTGCGAAGAAGCAAAACCTTCCAATAAAATGATAGAGCAAATTATAGTTCCCTCACAACCTAGCTGTCCCTCACAAGAACTGCTGTCTCAGAATGGGAGCCATCCATCAGTTCTTGCCAAAACTTACCAACCCTATTCCAACCACTATGGAGACAGATGGCAAAACCCTTTAAGGAATAACATGGTGAGGCAACCTGGACTTCTAATGGATCCAAACCAATCCCATAGGGTCACTGGTATCAAGGTAGAATCTCAAGGTCAGTTACAACAATTCTGCTCCAATGTGCAGAGTTATTCTGGTCAGTTGTATGACCAAACCACAGGGTTTAATCAGCAAGCTCTGAAAGCAGAAGTTTTTTCCTTTTCAGAAGCTAATTACCTAATACAAGAGGTAGCTATTGAAAATACATCAGAGCTTCTCTCCCCAGGGGTCAACCAAGTGACAAGCACAGTTGACAACATTGACACAAGCAGCCATGAAGGTGTGCAAATTGATTTTGATGCTATTGTAGATGATGGTGATCATGCCAGCTTAATTTCAGGAGCCCTGAGTCCCAGTATCATTCAGAATCTATCTTGTAATCCTTCCCGTCTTACTACTCCCCAAGCATCTCTTACATTCCCAGTTATGCCCATAAGTACAACTAATATGGCTATTGGGGACATGAATTCTTTGTTAACTTCACTTGCAGAAGAAAGCAAGTTTCTTGCTGTTATGCAACAGACCTAAAAAATCTTAAGGTATGAGAATTTTTAAAATGTGTTTTTTTATTAGTTGTCTTAAGTACTTTAACAGTCTCATCTCAACTAAATGAGATGTGTTTCAAGTATATTCCTTTTATGGAATTAGAACTCTGAAAAACCCTAAAGTGTTCTAGGGAGAAACTGTCTTCCGTTTCAGCTTTGAATCAGTATTGTAACACATGCCATCCCTTTTTTTAATGATTTTTATATGACTTTGTTTTTATTTGTGTAATTGTAAACCACTGAAAACGTGTAATGTGCATATCATTTTATTTTTGAGGAGAATCTGATATTACAATTTATTGTTTACTCTAAAGAAAATACAGTGTTGAATGATTATGGCCAGAATTCTTAATGCATATAACCAGTTTCGAAGGCAAATTTCTGAGGGGAAGTTTGAAATTTTGTTCACCTCACTATAAACTTCCTTTATGAGAATTGTTGAAAGAAAACTAATTTATGGCATAGGAGGAGAAAATTAATACTTTGAGTGATTATTTCTTTTGCTCTGTATTTGTGGTTTTTTTTAACTTTTTATTTTTGAGGAAAAATCATTTTTCTTTATCATTTGCCTGCTTTACAATTTTTCAGAATTTTCATGCAAAATGTTGGCTTGCTCTTTTGGATTTCATTATTGTCATGTGCAAACTAACAGCATGATTAAGATTATAGTGTCAACTCATAAAATATTTCTATGGTCTTTTAGAGTTGCCAACAGAAAGGGAAGGGGAAGCAATGGGCAGCTTGCATTCCATAAATGTTTTCAAAAATAGTTTCTAGGTCAGTGGTTGCCAACCAGTGGGCCGGGGACCAATGGTGGTCTGTGAGAAAATTTGGGTGGTCCGCAGAGAAATGTCACCCCCAAAGCACCCCTCAAAGCAATTAATGCACAGGAACACAAGGCTGCGCTGCCCACGTGGCCCGTAGGAACACAAGGCTTGTGTCACTTGCATTGCGAACAACATGAGATAGTGAGGAGAGGGAGGAAAGAGCAGAGGGAGGGAACTTGCCCCACTCATCCCACATGCCTCGTCTACCTACTGAGCTTCTTTCTTTTCTGCTTCTTTCTTCTGCTTTTAGCTGCACACAAGGAAAGCAGCAAAAGTCTTTCTTTCTCTCTCCCAAACTCTGTCAGATATGAGTCTTTGGGCCCTGCAAGGCCTCCTGCTCCAAGAGGCTGTGCCATTCTGGCAGAGTTTGGGGGAGAGAAAGAAAGACTTCTGCTGCTTCTGCTGCTTTCCTTGCATGAAGCCAAAAGTCTCTCTCTCTATCCCCCTCCCCCTGAGAATGGAGCTGGAGATGGTATCCTGTGATCCCAAATAAAGAATGATTGATTGGTAGAAAAATGGAGTGGGGAATTTTCCTACAGACTTTTTTTGGGATTTTCTCAGGATCTCTGGTCCGTGGGATTTAAAATTATGAGTTTGGTGGTCCCTGAGATCCAAAAGGTTGGCAACCCCTGTTCTAGGTGACCAAGGTTTCTGCCGTGCAAAATTCTAACTGGAGAGTATGATTGATGACTCTTGGCTGTGGATGTGTCCCATTGGAGAATATGAATTATGATACACCCAGGGGGGAAAACCAGGGTCAAGGGTAACAATGAATTATGTGTCTCAGGCAGTGCCGGCATGTTTACTCCTACTAAATCCTCTTTTAGTTTGAAAATCTGGCTAGAGACTCATGATTTAAATGGGGGTAACTACCGGAATCCTGAAATATAGTGGATTATATTACAGGGAGAAGATCAAAAGGAATGAACAAAGTGCCACTGTGAATTCTGCTTACTGCTACTTATTCTCATGCTTTATTAATTCCAAGAAACTCTAAAGTTGTCTAGAACTCAAGGTAGAAATCATTGGTCTGGGCTGAGAGAATGGCAAAAAATAAATCTGAAATTTATTCTAATAGAAGTATTAAAATGGAGAAAGGGGACAGTTAAGTATTAAATATCCTGCTCTTGTCAAAAGTTAGCTTTTTAGCCACTGGGATATAACAATAAGCCTCACATTTTTTAAAATATGTTATGATGCACCTATTAGGATAAACATGTTTCTGTTCACCTCTATTATAAATCTCCTTACCGAGACTTCAATTTAAATAAAATATGCACCTTTAAGGGAAGATTAGTTAGCATTCCTGCAACATGATTTACCATATTTTTCAGACTATAAGATGCACCGGACCATAAGATGCACCTAGGTTTAGAGGAGGAAAACAAGAAAAAAAATGTTTTTTGCCTCCACATATCCCATTTCTGCCCTCCACGGCATCCAGAAGCATTCTGCAGACCAAAAATGGGCACATTTTTGGCATCCCAAACCCTATGTGTGTCCCATTTTTTCCCTCTGTGTCTAAAAGCACTCTGCAGGCCAAAAGCAGCCTCAGCGGGTCCCTCTTTTGCCTTCTCTGGTGTTGAGGAGGCCGAAAACAGGACGCACGGAGGGTTTGGGAGGCCAAAATCGACCCATTTTTGGCCTACAGAGTGCTTCTGGATGCCAGGGGTTTGCAGAGGGTTTGGGAGGCAAAAATGGGCCTGTATTCGTTGTATAAGACACACAGACATTTCTACTCACTTTTTTGGAGGAGAAAAGTGTGTCTTATAGTCTGAAAAATACCACACTTCTAAGGATTCAATGTCTTTCAAAACTTTTTGTTCCTTTTAATCACTGTCAGTTTACAATTGGAACATTAACCAGAGCTGCAGAATAGTATAATGGTGCTATAAGTGTCTCATATTTGAAACCGCTGATAGAATTCCATTCTTGGAGACATAGGAAGAGTTAACACTGATTATTCTTGCTTCCTGACCCACATTTAGTTATTCAGCAAATTACTGGTAAATGCCAGTCTTGAAAATATCGTCTGATAATACGAATCTACTTATAATACATTGATACATATAGTTTTTAATATACTAAAAGCAAACAGTCTGATCAAATGAAGGCAATAGCATAATTGGTGTGTCTGTGTGTTTAAAGAGAATAGGCAATTTTTTAGTACATTCACTGTTCAAATATTAATATAGTAAGATCAGAACTGATAGTGCTTACACTGATTTAATAGATGTATGTATCTAAAATACTTAAATTGTTACTCATATTTTGAGATCTGGCATATAGTTTATCATATTTTGATATCTCTTGTTATACTTTTATTATTCCAGATAATCCAGTTGAGTTACAGTTAATTGAGTTGCAGTTAATTTATTTATCTCATCTTTGCATTTCTCACTGCTACTTTAGTTACTTTTTAATCCTACCCCACATTCCAAAGTAAACTAATCATAATAAGATTCATTTTTTTGGTATTATGACTCTGATGTGTGTTGCTTCCTAGGATTTCAGGCAAATAATAAAATGATTGAAAACTAGGTTATGGAGATTGTTTCACAACTCAGGAGTTTTAATGAACACTTTATTGTTCCATATTTCCCAAAAATCTTTATTGCTGTTGGAGTGAGACTATGCTGTTGGATTTGAAGTAGTAGACTTTGCTAAACCACTGTATAACTTCTTAGATAATCAGTTGTGTCAGAATTATAATACCATGTTTTCTGCATCCAATTTCTTATGGGTAGGACTCAGGAAATATTACTGAACTGTACTTGAATTGTTTGATTGAGTCCTGTCAAATAAGATATTTGGGATGTTTTCATATAATTCATTTCCAGTAAGGCCTAGACAGTTGAATTCTAATCCAACCATTGCATTATACTAATCAAAATATGTTTTTTTTCCTGACTCCACAGATAGTCTGTAATTTTTAAAAACACTTAACCATATGGATACCCAAAATTGTGATGACAATTTTGGCCGATAACTGGGGGATATATTTTCTGCTTGGTTATGGGTATCCCTCTGGTAAATATTTCTATTTATTTTTATTATTTATTGTGTATTGGGTCCAAACTAGGTCTTAATTAAAATAGACATTGAAATCAGTGGGATTGAATAATTAAATCTGAGTCCCAATACAAAATAAATAATATTGCATATCATTTTGGGTTTAACAATAGGTGAGAAAATTGTAATTTACCAATTGCAGCTCTTGTGCAGAATATTACTTGTTTACTGGGAACAAGTAATCTAAGTAACTTAAGAAGCTACTTTTCCTACCATTCAAATGTTGTTTTATAAGATTCATATAAAAGATAGATGTATTTATTTGTATGCTTTCACTTCCGTTAAAATAGTGCTTATTAAATTACACTAACAACAAAAGGACAACTTTTTGAATTATCATTCCAATACAATTTTGTAAAATACATATCTAAGACACATGTTTTCTTGCATGTCTGTTGAGATGAGACAAGGTGTAAGCTTCTCAGTGCTGCTTGATAATTGCTTATGTTTCCTTAATTGAAGTTCTTCACATAGTGACCATTATTTCAGTTTCTATGAGCTGGGCTTGGGAAATATTGAGGTAAAGTGCTTTAGTTAGTGAATAGTTAGAGCTTACTGCAAATTTGCTGCACCAGCTGAGACTCAATAGACCTGAGAATTTTATCTTTCCAAATGCTTGTTAAAATATTAAATCTGAGACACTTTCACAAGATTCCTAAGTCCATTAGAACTTAGATTGATTCTAAGAACCAGTGTTATATTAGTAATGCATAATATTTGTGGTCTAATTCTTCAGAATGGTTTAGATTACACATCTAAAGCAGAAATAATTAATTATATACCTCATGCTATGCATCACCTAGTGCTATGTATGCATCTTAATAATACAGTATATGCAGTTTGCCTAAATAATAACCATTATTTGCTCAGCCAGTTATAAAAGTGGTTTCCATTTGTAAATTTGGTAGGAATTTTAATAACAGAAACCTTAACTGGATAATGTAAACATTATTATAAATCTATCTTTCCAGATTTTTGTGCCCTTCAAATGTATCTACGTATAGTATCCTTCTCTAAATGACTGAGGCTGTATTTTAAAAAATACCTAGAGAGAATCAGATTTGGGAAAGGTGCTATATCCATTTAATTTCTGTCATCAGAAACTGAGTGTTGAGTTTCTGAAACCAAATGAAATGTTGCTGAACGCAGTAGTTTAGGGTTTTTTAATAATT